CCCCCCCCAACACGTGCGATAGCCTGGCATGATACTGAGTGCCCCCCCCCCTCTCCCCATTTCGTCCCTAAAATTCCTGTCCCAGGTGTCGAACACACCCTTCGCAGCTGTAACGCTGAGCGCGTTGTACCAGGTGGCCGCAGACGACGGTCTGTGCAACAGCCCCTACAACATGCAGCGCCATCCCATGCGGACTAAGGCTTACGAGTAGAGATGAAAACCGTCACGTGTTGATTGTCGGGAGTGAAGCTTGTCCGGCGCCTCTGGATTCCCTTCTCTTGACATTGGTGAGAGTGTTTTTGTTTGCTTGATGGTATTGTAAACATGAAATAGGCTAGAAAGGCGCTACATGGGTGGGTAAAGAAGCGCCTGTTTGAAACGGGTACGCCACCTGTGGGAAGTAGTTCTAGAGGAAACAAAGGCGTCGAGAAAGGGCCAGTAGCTATAGCATATAGCATCCTGCGGGGTACGTGTAGAGCTCACGCTGTGAAAGGGCGTTGTGGGTCGGCGGCTTATTGTCGGCCTCCACAACGAGGAGGTTATAAGTTCTTGCAGTGAACGTTCGTTAGTCCCTCTCCCAGGCGTGGCAATAGACTGTTTACGCAGGACACCTTTGTAGATGTAAAGGGGCGGATTGACGTTTTCATGAAAATTGAAAGCCTGGAATGGAGTGAGTTACTGCTGGAGGTCTTGGTGAATAGGCGAACTTTCCGAGAACGTGTCCACAGGGTGCACGGGGCAACACAACCGTTTCATTTACACTAAAGCATGATCAGAGGGTAGTGCGAAGAGCAAAGCAAATATCAAATGAAGAACGTACGGTGCCCGTCACGATTGCGACGAGAACACCTCCGGGAATCCTTGGCATGGCTTCGTGTGTGCCTCGAGCATGCGTGCTTTTGGCCACGTCCTCTGTGGTTGGGGTGAAGAAGCGCTACGTTTCTCGTAGCAGGTTCCGGTGTTGAGAATAACAACGTCGGTCGGGGATGCGTCCTTGTGTCCTCGGGAGATGTGCGAACAACTTTGCCAAGTCCACTCTTTTTGTTCTTGTTTTCGCCCGTTGCCGTCATTTCGTGTTGCTCGGTTGTGCTTACTCTTTGTCTTTTAACAACACATAAACTTCCGTAGAGTTCTCTCTACTATTAACTTGCAATGGCGGCATTGTGCATGGCTTTTTGCTGTTTAGGATATCCATCGCTGCTGTGCAGTCGGCTCTGTAGTCTGTGAATATGCCACCGTGTCCAAGGTCACGGTTTCACGATGGGCTGCCTGGCTGTGTGTCGTAGCTCCGAACAGTCCGGCGGCTCGTAGCGCTGAGCTCATTGGTGGAGGCGTCTGTGTTAGGAACCAGTGGTTCAAATCGGCTATATCTACAATGTTGGACCCAGGTCTCCGCATAGCGTTCACTACTGTAGTTTGAGGGGGCAGCCAGGCAACGGGATTCAAATTGAGGCCGCGGTTACGGCAGTAACCCCGGGCAAAGTAGTACGAGTTGCTCCGTACCGTAGATGCCTTGTTGGTAGCAAGCGCCCCCTGGATCCTTGCTCAATGCGGCAGCGATTGGCGGTAAAGGCCAAAGGGAGACTCAAGTTTGTTGCTAATCCAAACGTGTTGTTGGCATGCTCCAACTATATCTGACGACGACGCAGCTCTCGGGTCGAGTCAGTCTACGGGCATCACGCACATTCGGCTTATCTGCTCCGCCACCTCGAGCACTTGATCCGCGACGGTTCTCTTTGCTGCAATCATGGCGGATTCGCTTTTGCCATAGTCGGCACAGACAGCAGTTTCTTGAAAATGTCTGTCTGGTCCCTCCTCCTGCGGCAACGCTGCCAGATTCGCCCCGGGCGAGCCAGGCACAAGTGGTGCCGTGAAGGCCCTCAACGTGGTGGGTACGACGTTCTGCTTCACGGCGACCGCTGTCGCTTTCTCCTTAGGCTTACTTAGGCACCCGGTCACGTCCTTCTGGTCGTCGATATTTCCCCCAACGAATCCCCCAGCTTCGTTTCCCACGCTGCCCTTTTCACAACCTTTTTGCTCTCCACCGTCATCAGCATCATCTCCGGGTACCGAATCCTGGTGAAACTTATGGTCACGACGACGACTCGCAGCCGCCGTCGTCAGGTCCACATCCTGCCCATTCCCCGCCCGTCTCCCACACTTCCACGGGGAGCGGGGGACGGCCGTCCCGATAGTCTCGCTCACGAAGTTGAGCAGCTTCACCGCGACCAGTCTCTCCGCTTTCGTCAACCCGTCGCCTGATGTTCCCCGCTGGTCCTCTCCGCGGCGGTGCAAGCGGCGCGCCCCCCTGCGTGGTGGCGATCGTTGCGATTCTGCTCCTAGGTCAAGGCGAGAATCTGAGAGGTTGCGAGCCAAGCAGTCCGACGAGGACTGCGTCTCATCCGTGGTGCGTCGTCTTGATGTCCCCTTCGCGAGGTGCCCTCTGTGGGGACTCGATCCGGCTCCTCCGTCCCTGTCCATCCCGCTCTTGGGAAAGTGAGATTCGTTGAACCTCGCCGCACCCACGCCGACTTGTTCGTTCTCTTCTTCACCCAGCTCGCGCCGACGGCGGGCAACAACTGGAGTGCGCTGTCGGTACTCTTGTCGGGGGGTTGGTTGTTCCGTGTTGCCTGATACCGTCTCATCC